TTAGGTTTTTTTTTAAATTTTTTAAGATATTCAGGAATTTTTCAGAGATAGGTTGATAAATAATTATTTAGTGCATTCGTAAAAATAAATTGCTGTTGATTTTATCTTTTTTTAAATTCTTTAGTGAATAGACGCAGTCTAGTAATTAGCTGCATTAGTAAGTTCTTACCAATTTCAATCTACTCGGTACAAAATTAAAGAAACAAATGCAGCCATCGTATCAAGTAATTTTAGTAGATCGTTCGGAAACGATCAGAATTCCGTTTCTCGTTATTCTTTAAATAATAACGCTTGAGATTAACAATTCCTCTTTTTAAAAATGTGTCCTTGCCATTTCCATTCGTACGGATCCTTTTTATTTATCATCGCAAAATGCAAAGCTATTACCATTTAATTTGGAAGTTTCAAGAAATGGACACTTTAATATCTTATTTTTCGAAGACTTGTTTAATTTACACAAAAGGCTGGAATATTTCTACAAAGAATTTCAATTTCGTCAATCGACGGTGGTGGCTGCATGTTTAATACTTATTCAATATCGGCTTAATATTACCTCGTGATATTAGCATTTTATTAACGTTGGTCACGAGCAAAATGGGTCTTTTGTTCGAGACCTCTCGAAAGAAAATAGTTTCCTAAGTTCGTAGTTATGTATTAGTGTTCATGTTTTATTAAAAATCCTCCTCGATGTTAATCGAATTCGTTCGTGATTCTTTCAACCATGTTCAATGAGGAGTCGAACTCGTTGTTTGCTTGCTTCTGTCGAGATCTTCCGAAAGAAAGGTATTGCAATTCTCGGAGGAATTTAATATTCCACGCAAGGATTTCAAGAACTTATTTTAAAACTGGTAACAAACATTGCGCGAACCAATAGAAGTTCAATCCTTTTTTGAAAGAAGAACTTTCGAAGTTCTTCAGATTCGAATCTTCGATCAATGGAACTTCATTTTCCACGCGTACGAAGTATCAAAACGATTTCTATTATCTTTCAATCCCATAATAGGCAGATTCAGCTGCGGCATCACGTAGTGTCGAGGCTGAGAAGTTAGAAAGAGAGCGTATCATTTTTTTTTTTTTTTTTTTTTCTTCATTTCACCCCTGAGGAGAGTTTAACGAGACACTACTTTTCATAATTCGAGGAAGGAACTCTATCGTTTTTCCGGCGAGGAGCGCGCACGAGCCTCGATCGATTTTCTTAACCGTCTTTTCTCCCGTGCCTTGAAGCTGCCTCTCGGCCGCAAAAGAAAGAAAATAAGGCTGCAATGACAGAAGGTTTCACGGTGGGGCAGACACTGCCTGCCTGCCACGAGCACTTCCACCCTTCTACCCTATAGCAAAGAGTATCCGGACCGTGAGAACGACGAGGATGGACGGTCGATTCGCGAGAAAAGGATGGAGACAGCGAAATGAGGATAGAGACATAGAGATAAAGAAAGTGTGAGGAGAGGAGAAATTGAAGGGAAGAACGAAAGAGGAGGACGAACGAAGATGTAAGTACTTAGGGTGAA